CAGCACTTACAAATAAGTGGGTTGTTAGTTAGATGGATCATGATTGGTTAATATTAAATACTTTACATTGGTAAAACATTTAATTTATCCAATCATAAAATATAGTTTAGATCAGTTTCCAATAAGATCTTCTGAGAGAACTGGATCAATTCAATAGGTAACTTTTATATTCTGCTGGAAAATCGAATGCAATTTTGGAATATACCTTTTTGAAACAAAGTCATTCCTGTTTTTTGCACCGTTCACACTTGAAAACAAGTTCAAAATCAAACCGCGAAAAACCAAATTTGAGCGTCAACAACTTTTTTTCAAGAAAATTAACACGCGATGCAACCGAAGTGTCTTCAATTCGCTCGTTGATCTGATCTTAGAAATCATTGACAATTCGTTCGTTTTAATATCCATCGCTTAATTCTGCATGTTATATCAATGAATTCAATTGCATTCAGCAACTATGATTTAATCCACCTTCACGCGTCATCACTAACGCGGACAAGTTCACATCATTCTATTCTCAGGCACATAAAACACACAATAATAATACTCAACTCTCGACACAAGCGAACCGTAAGCATACGTCAGCTTTGTATCTACCATAGAACACATGTAACTGCATTAGAAACCGTTCCGATTAAGAATGTTACATCACTATGGGATTGGACAAACAAGGTGACCAAATTGGTTAATTTGAAATTGGACATTTGAGCAAACAAAGTTCTCATTCCAACACTAAAGCCCTCTTTCTGGTCCTAATTGTGTTTCTGTTGGTTCACAGCTTCAACTGAGTGGGCGTGGGTTAGAGTGTGACAAATATTAGTAAAGCTCAAATCCCCTAATGTGCACCACGATCAGCCCAAAAAGACAAAATAAACTAGTTAAGATTGCGACATGACTTGCAATCAGATTACCAAATACGTATAAGTATTCGTCCACTTGCACAATCATAGACATCTGCAGAACTAAATGAGTCAACAATTCATCAGCTTAAATTTAATTCAGAATAACTCAGAAAATCTCAAAACCGTGAGAGCTACAATCAGACGACCCACAGATATAGTTTTAGAGTAATTGATTTTGAGTAAGTAACAGACTTAAGGAAAATATTCCAAATGACAAATTAAAGCAATTGTTAGCTTCCGAAGCTGCAATTCACAGGTTCATAACGCCGTGCTTACTAAATTAGACAAACTATGAAAAGCTACCAGATATATACACCAGATATAAGAGGCAAAGAGCTTCGTATCATTTGCGACACAACAATCATTCAGAGCAAGCGAAAACAAGAAACAAAAACGGAAAAGGGATTCTCCAAGTGGAAAAATATACAGAAGCGATGCAGCAAGTAGTAAGTTAAACTAAGAACATAGCCAATCGAAGATTGTACAAGAGTAATGAACGCAAGTAAACATTAAAAAAAACACTGACTTTAATGAAAAAAAAAAAACTCAACTAACGAATTTCAAAGAAAAAAAATTAAGCTCTTAGAATTTCTAGAACAATTTATGATTGGCGCTTTTTTGATAGCATGAACCCAACTAGAGAAAACTGGATCAATAGGTAAAGTTGTTTTTATTCCGCTGAAAATCTAAAAATTAAATTCCACTTTCGAAACTAGAAATCGTTCACGTTTTTTCGTTTCATTTCCACGTTTCTATTTGGAGAGCGCTATTTACGTCACTTTCAGCAGATTGATTTCAATTGAACTGAAAAAGTGCATATATACCTATGTGCATTCATAAATGCATCAATATGTATGCATGCACATCTGTAGTTATTAGAGACTTTTGCTGAAAAAACAAAACAAAAAGAAATCAATAAGACCTATATAAGAGTCTTCACTACGTTCATTATTTTTAAAAACAAAAACATTGACTTACGTCGCAATATTTTTCAAATCAGAAAAAAATTTCTGAAAAAAGTTCAATCCTCTATACGACCTCGAATCAACACACGTATTCATAACTGACTTTAAGTTTCTTAATTGGAAACTAAGCCGACAGATCTTCAGTCACTATCTACACAGAGGCGAAGCTGCGCTTCGCAAACACTTGCGAGAACACGAACGAAAAGCAGCTATCAAAAGACATACGAAAAAAGCAGAAATAAGCCTCGAATTTGCAAAGACTCGAGGCTTAGCAAAACTCGAATTAGCAAAAAAAACTGCAACCTAGCAAATTTGAGTCTCACACACTAACCATTCAGCCAAGGATGCTCAAAATCCTCAAAAACTAGCCACCAATAACGCAGCAACATATTCTAAAAAATTGCCAATTCGATGCAGCGAAAGTAGCACAAATACAAAAATACACAATTTTGCATATAAAAATCGCACAGCATAAAGCCACATTATGTACAAATTATGCATTCCAAAAAATATATCGAGTTAGAAAACTTCTGAAATCGAGATTTTATTATTGTTGTTGTTTGAAACAAATAAATTTCTTCGGTTGATTTGATGAATTAAAAACGCATCAACTGCGTAAACTTATAACTATTCAATGTCAGAGCACATGCTATCAATAAGCTGTAAAGGTGCCACACTAACATTTGCGACTTGGGTTGGAAAAAAAGAAAGTTCGTACTATAACACTTAGCTTCGCAAGTGTAAAAAGCCGAAAATCGTGGCCGATTAAACTTCAAACACAGATGCGAAATTGCACTTCGCAAACATAAGTAAAAATATGACCGATAACACTACAGGGAAAAACTGAATGAGTAAACCTTTGAGTCTAGAAAACTTCTCAAGTGATGCCCGCCAATTATGAGTTTACACAATTGCTAAGTGACGCAAGCCAACTATGACGCATTAGCAGTACCAGTAAATTAAAAAGAAAGAAAGATATTTACTAAGTAACATGCCTCAGTTTATAGAGCGGACGCATTTTAACTAGCATACGAAAAAGTTCATTAAAAACATCCGACCCTGCCCAGGTTCGGACCCTCTTATTTTGTTGCGGGTCTCTTTCCCTACCTCTACGCCACAAATCCATGATACCTTGACGCTAAAGTGCTATTTGTAATATAATAGTCTGTGTTAATATTCTTAGCATTAGATGTACTACTTAATAGCTGGTTATTGATCAAAATGAACACATTATGTCGCAACAATAATTGCGTCGCATCAATATGTGCGACTTAAGTTGGAAAAAAAGAGTTCATACTATAACAAGCTTTGCTTGTGTAAACAAACAAAGCGAGAAAAAAATCCCGCTAGGACTCGAACCCCAGACATGTGGATATTCCAGAAGGTGCTTTGCCTCGAGACTAAATAGTCAGCTCCATAATTATTTGGCCTTTTATTAAAAAAACAAGGTCAATTTCATACAGATTTTCAATAAAATTGTTTAGGGGAAAAAGTATAGTTCCCGACTACAAGACAGTTGCCCTAACAAGTGTAACAATTTGAAAGATATTTAACTGTCAATTACAGCAGTGTTGGATACCGTGCGCTTTCAAACGCAAATCTCCCAACCCAAAGTAAGTTGCTAGTAATTATCAGGGAAAATCACAAAATGGTACCATTCGCGTCTTCTAATTCGGATATAAGTAACAGTTATCAAACTTAGTTTTACGGTTCGATTAGCCAAAACCAGAAACAAATCAAGCCGATATGATACTGTAAAACAACTAAGCAAATGATGAAAAGCCCAGTAAAAATTTCGATACCTTTAAACTGGCAGAAACGCAAAAAAAATGACACGAAGAAAAGACTCCAAAGAGGGCATTCATGGTCCGTTATCAACTATCGGCTCAAGGACAGCAGACAACTAAAAACCTAAGCACGCACTGTTCAAGCATGCGTGGAGAGCACACTGCTTTATGGCGCCCAAGCGCGACATTGGTGGAAGAGTGAACGAGACTGCATAACGCTTTGTCGACCGGTGATACCGCTATATATAATGACAAAAGACCCCCACTTATGAAAATGCAACACATCTGCAAGGATGTCAACTGAGATCATTGAGAAACTAAAATGCAAATGCAAAGAATAGGCCACATAGTAAGACGATTGAGTGATTTCAAACTCGCGGAACAAAAACCGTTTGGTTGCCCGAGACTATAAACTACTTTAACTACCAAGACTTAGTCAATTTCACCATGGACAGAAAGAAAAAGAAGGTTCCGATTGAAGAAAGAGTGAGAACGATAGCAGACGAAGAAAATGCAGAGGACTGCTCTCGACACCGGCAACAGAAACTTCACTGCCAAATTGTCGTTGTTGCTAGACCATGTAAAAGAATAAAGCCATACATATCAAACACATTCACGAAAACAAAACCGAAGTAGACTGGCCAAACTGCCACAAAAATTTCAGCCAGGAAGCCATCAGATGTCTGAAACATCACGGGAAGATCTGTTGTGGCATCCAGACAACATTAGAAAAAAAACGTAAAACAATTTGAAAGACAAGCAAAAAAATCTCACTGAAACAAAATAGCCAGAAATAAGAAGACACATAACATATAAACCAAGAAAGAAACATCACAAGCCAAAAAGTATACTGCGAAATACATTCCATGTCCAAGCTGCTTTCGAAACATATCTGCGACAAACAAGTCAAGGCATCTGAGAAAATGTAGAGCAAGGGAACGTCCGTTAAACCAAAAAAATTGGAATTTTTCCATAAAACTAAGCAGAATTGAGAAAAAAATATCAACAGGTTATTCTGCTGGGAAATCTTATAATTAAAATCCGAACCTTATTAAAATCCGAACCTTTGTTAAATGAGAGCCCAGTTTGCCTTCCTTTCCGCAAATGGATTCGGATTGGAAACAGAACAAAAATCAAACCGCAAAAAATCCTATTCGAGCGCGGATAACTTCGAAGACAAAAACAACCCGACCTATACGAGAGTTTCACTAAGTTCTTCACTTAAAAAGAAAGCAATTTTCAACACAAACAACGAGATTTGGCTGGTTCACACAAGATGCTCAGTTTTGGTTCATTTATACTGCAGGTGGTTTATGTTAAGTATGCCAACGCATATATATTTAACTTACTTGATCGCTGGGTTCGTAGCCAGGTTGTCTGACTTCGTCCACTTTATTGAGGAAGCTGGAGCATTACAAACAACCAGTTAATACCAAATCAGACAATAAGAAGGATGTTGATAAACATGTGTTATACTCACTACTCAGCACAGTCAATCAGTTGATACTCGTGTGATCGTTTAAAGCAGGCCACCACGCCAGAATCCTTCCATAGGATCTTCGTAGCATTCCAGAACTCCTGTAAACAAAATATGTATTCATTTTCCACTCATTTTACTCTATTTTCAATGATCGCAAACACAATCTGTTCATAAAACTTCATAGGCCAGCACTAAGCATTTTCAACAAAAATCCGTTTCACAACCTCAGCAATCCTACTAAAGAACTATCAACCCGTTTTCAATACTGTTTTGTACCAAGCAACCACTTTCGAGTCAATAAAAAAGTTCGCTACCTTAGAATAATGAATTTGCAAAAAAATATAGATATGAATAAGTACTAATTTAGTTTTAATTTATTTTTGATTATTTTAATTTATAATAAATTGACCCCTTGTGTTGTATGTAGTGTAGTGTAGTTTACCTCTGGGTATGAGAAGTTGGGTTTGGTGCACTCGTCGAGGATGTAGTCTGCGTACTGTTGATTGTGGGGCTCGCAGTCCAGTGGGGGCTCTATCTGGGACATGGCGTCTGTGATGGTGAGGATGGCGTCCCTGATGTTCCTCCAGATGTCCTGCACCTTGTCCTTTCTCTCCGCCTTAGAGTAGCCCTCCACATGCAGAATCTTCATCTGCTTTACAATTGTCGACTTACCACTCTCACCAGCACCTGAAACACACAACTCATGAAACACATTAAACTCCTATCTTCACGACAATCAGTAACACCACAGTAATCAATATCGTAACGAGCTTTTATAATTAATCATTCTTACGCACAGAAAAGTAGCAGAGACATTGGGACCGGGTTGTCTCAATTTTATGCATCACTGGTAGACCCAAAAATAACGTCGTCAGGGTCGAGGCAAAAACTCGCGCAATTTAATTACTCGATTGGCTCAATTGCACGTTTTTTTTTCTGCCACCAAGTATGGGAAACTCGTAAGCGAACGAACTGAATATGAACTGCTACTTGGCAATGATAGTTTTTTTGCACAAAAAAGAACAGAACAGAGGATTTTAGAGATGGGTCGAAAAAATCGTTTTCAGCTTAAATTGCTAATTACGTAGACCATCGAGTTTGGCTAACTTCCTGTAGCGTACTATCAGTGCTGATCATTCTAAATGTTTTAAATTAATATTTAACAGCTTTCTGTTAAATGTTTTTATACAGATCTGTTAAACAGATGCATTTAAACAGCATAAAGCTCGACTAGCATATAGTTTAAAACCTTAAAAACGTATCAACTATCATTATTTTGATATCGTTATTTTTCAAAAATATAATACAAAAAAACGGTTCAAATTTAAACTTGCATTTCCTAAAAACAGAAAAATAAGCATTCAGAAATTAAACAATCCAAAGCAAATGCAATTCGTCAGCATATCAATAGTGATCAGTCACACATCGACCGTTTTTTTTACATTATTGGAAAACGATTCATATCAATATGAAAGATGTCCAATTATTGAGGTACTACGGTTTCTTTTATACAAAAATTTATTGCCATAATGACAATCACAGTTGCCGGAATCGAGAAAAGATAGTAAAGAGACAATTCAAGATTCAGAGAAAAACTTCATCGTCAATATAGCTACCGTTATGCGAACCTCAGAAATAAAATAATTAAAATTATGAACCATCCTATTAAAAAAGAAGCTTCACTTAACGATGACTGTGAATTAAAAAAGAAGATTCTCTTAACGATGACTTTGATTCTCATTTTTCACATGCTATATAAAGTCACACGCAATATATAGTCTAGAAACGATTAAAGTCTGGTTTATGTCTAGTAACGCATTGACAAGCCTAAATAGCTTGCCTTAATTCAATTAGCAAGGAGCTGTGTGCCGGATTAATTTACCGTGCCGTCTGCGCTACTCAATAATACAATGCTGAATTAAATCATCCGGCCAAACCTATTAGAACCGGAAACTTCCAAAAACATTTTTCTGAAACGTGGTTAACTTTAGATAAACATAGCGAACTAACTGTGGTATGAAGTCAAAGCGAACGAAGAAAATTTACTGACTTTTGTTGGAAATTTTGACTTTAGAAATTAAAGCAAAAACATCATCTTTAACCTATTCGAATTTCAAGAATCTTTTATGGCGGTAACTTTTTAAAATTCAAGAAAAAGCCAATAAGAGAAAAATTAGTAATGAGTATTTTTTAATCCGCTTAAGAATCTAGCAAGGACAATCCAATTTCGAAACTTAAAGACAATCAGTTCCTTTTTCGCTGATGAGCAATTTGGTTATAGGAGAGCGAAACTTGCTTTCTTTTAAGCACATAAAACTGAATGGGACTTAAAAACAAGATCAAAATCATATTTGAGCGCCAACATATTTTTCAGACTTCTTCTTTTAAAAATACAAAGCCAACAGACAACTGGAAAAGATACAATGAATGCAATTAAACAGAAAATGCTGATTCGTTTTTAGAAAAGCCCGAAGTTTTGAATTTCAAAGAAAAATTGATGGCCTTGAAGCTCTTTGAACTTCTGGAACAATTTATGATTGTCGTCAGATGCCAAAAAATCAACACCCAAACTGTTCAAAATTTTGTTTCAAACTGAAACTCATTTTAATGAAAACATGTGGCAGAACACAGCAGCCAATATGGTACTAGCTTGAGAAACATTGAATTGCGCTACAATAAAGTCAGTGAAAAGACATTCAAAAAACTATCTGAAAAACTGAGTTGAAAAAAGTACTTGACACAAAGGCGAAGCTGAGCTTCGCACCATTTGCGATACAACAAAAAAAATCAAAGAAAAACGAAAGCGGCGAAGAAACTACATCTATCATAAAGAAAAAGCTACATTTGAAACAAAAACATGCTGAGGCAATAGAATGTAAAATTAGCTTCGGGCTAATCTCACATACCGAATTTCAACGAAAATCTCACCTAACGAATTTCAACGAAAAAAAATAAATGCTCTATAATCTCTTTGAATTTCTAGAAAGATTTATGATTGGCGCTTTTTTGATAACATTAACCCAACTTGAGAAAACTGGATCAACAGGTAAAGTTTTTATTCCGTTGGAAATCTAAAAGTAAATTCCGCTTTCGAAACTAGAAATCGTTCACGAAACTTCGCGCCATTTGCACGTTCGTGTTTGGAGAGTGCTATTCACGTCATTTTCAGCAAATCAATTTCAATTGAACTCAAATAATGCATATATACGTAAATGCATCAATATTTTAAGAATTTTTCCTGAAAAAAAAAACAAAAAAAATCAGCAATACCTATATAAGTCTTCACTACGCTCATAACTCAAAAGAAACAATATGAGACAACTAAGCCGATATAATATAGCCTTCAGCCTATTAAGATCAAAAAAGGGAAAAAAGCCGAAAAAATTCAGATAAGTTAGGACTAATAAGTTATTATGCCCCAAACACAAACACAAACTCGAACACACGAGCTTTTTTCACTTATCGGAAGACGCAATATGAGGTCGCGAAGCCGATATAAAATAGGCCTATACCAATCAAGTCGAAAAAAAATTGTTGTCAGGAAAAACTTGAAATATAATATCTATTAAGATTTTAAGCATTTTTTTCAATCCAGAGGTGAGCTTAAAAAATGATTCAATTGAAACAACTCGAAATTAGGTCAATAAGCCGATAAAAACAAACCGAACTCATTTGGGCAGAAAAAAGTTTTTAGGCGAAACAAAAGAAAAAAGAAATATACGATGTCAAGGTTAAAAAAATTTCAAATAGCAGAAGTAAATCAGAAAACTAAAGCAACAAAAATGTTTAAAAAAATTAAATTCAAATGAGCGATTTAGTTGAATGGTAAAAACCGGAAACTAAGCCGGTTGGTAAAAACCGAAAATTGAAAGCCGAAACTAAGCTGACAAATATTTAACAATGCGACGAAATCGAAATTTCAAAAAATACCAAAGAAAAATCATTTTAAAATTTTGAATTGAAAATTTGATGGAAAAGCACTAACAGGGATGTACAGAGCGATTAAAAGCATACGCAAAAATTGCATGCATGTATACTGCATGCATGCTGAAAGCTGTGGACAAAGTTGTTAACGAAAAAAAGTCTAGCACCCGATTGCAATACCTTTGCTTATCGCACGGCTAAAATTATAACTTGAAAACGTTGGAAAAACTACATCTATAAAAACTTCATGGTTGAATCAGATGACGTTCATAAACAGCCCAAGAAATTGGAAACCAATCATCGAGCGACAAGTTTTGGGTCGGAACCTGTTGACCCGATAACAAAATTGTCATATAATACTTCATGAAGTTTTGACAGTTGATACGATCCATTCATAGAGAAGCACATAATCGTAGACAAAAATATTTGGCACTTGAAATTACGCAATATGAGTTGACTAGGCCGAAATAAAAATCTGCCTGAATAGCTATAAAAACAAAACAAAAATGAAAACAAAAATTGCACAAAATCAGACTTGGTAAATTTATATAGTAGACTTGGTAAATTTCAGTTTAGTAGAAAACTGTTCAAATTGGAACAAAATCCATGCTTTAAAAACTAAGCCGATAAAAACCATACAGGTTAAATGTGCGTTTAAAAAACGGAAAACGAACCGACAGAAACTAGGACGAAAACCACGAACCCGGAAAAATTGAGAAATTTGAGAAACTTGATATTTACCATTCCCACTAAATGACCATTCTGTGAACAAAGTTGTTTACGGGAAAAAAGTCTATTACCCGATTGCAAAATCCTTGCTCATCGCAAGGGTAATTTCGATTCCGAAACTAGAAGTCGTGAACTTTACACTTCCGCTGTTCGATCGTAGAGTTTGTCATTATTTTAACAAAAGAAATTAACTGAACTTGAAAAAATCAGAAGTCAAACTGCAAAAAAGCAAATTTGAGCCTTAACAAATTTTAACACTTTTCCTGGAGAAAAAATCATCACGACCTATATTCGACTCTTAAGAAAACAAAAAGCTACACAGCCTAAATAAGTGTCACTTCGTTCCTTGAGAAATGATAATTCGGTGACATCCTTTACTGAATAGCTACAGCATATAAACGCGCCTATGGAGCTTCTTTAAAAATTTTGCTGTGCTTTTCACTCATATTCCATTAGATCGAATTTTAAAATTTTAGTTATACATTAACACCACTATTGCGTAAATTCAACAATCCATGTTTAACAAGTGTCCAGAAAAAAGAATTTTTACCAACAAATTTTTTCACAAAAGTATTGAAACACATTTACCCTTATTTCCCACATAAGTAACTGGTTTTATGTTTTAGCTACAAGCACTCTCGCGTAAACTCAACAACCCAAGTATATCAAGTGTCTAGAAATTAGACTTTTAAACCCCAATTCTCACAGAAGTAATGAAACACGTTTACCCTTATTTCCCACATAATTAAATGAAGTTTATGTTTTAGCTACAACCACTCTCGCGTAAATTCAACAATCCATGTTTACCAAGTGTCGTGAAACAAGACTTTTTCACCCAATTTTTTTTTAAGTATTGAAACACTTTTTAAATAGTTTTTCTGTTTCAGATACAACCACTCTCGCGTAAATTCTACAATCCAAGTCATCAAGTGTCTAGAAAAAAGATTTTTTTTTCACCCAGTTTTTCTCATCAAAGTATTGAAACACATTTAACCTTGTTTACCGCATAATTCAATGGTTCCCTCAATATCTTACCAAGTAAAAGTAATCGATGAGTGGTTTTGTAGTGTTGTTTATCTTTGGTAAGTTGCTTCTCAATCTCCTTGTTGCGAACAGCTTGCGTCTTGTTTCCGCCATCATCTTTGACAGTGTTTGTGCCAAAACACCCCATCAGCATTGTTGTAGGCTACTGTGCTGTTTTTCCTTGTTTGTGATACTATGCTTTGCACTGATCTTTATGCTGTGAATAAACAGGACTTCACCTCTGCTTAAACTGAGCAGATTCGATCACCTGGTTTTTTACAGGTCAAGCTAAGGCGATTGAGGGTTTTCTTCTTAAATCGGGGTTAAGTTTCCGATGGATAGTAGCACGTATTGTCTTCTTTTTTATAGACTGAATTTTGATAAAAAATAAAAAGGAATTATTGGGTATTGGATAGTTCAGATGGCAATCACACGCACTTTCCAGTTAAACTTCATCGATTCGGTTTAAAGTTTATACGGAAAGTTGCTTCAAATGTACAGCTGTTGGTTGTGGTATTGACTGATATTAACCACAGCTAGCCAGTGTGTGGGTTTGATCTGCCAGAATAGAGCACCTTGCCTTGTCAACAAACTCTTAGTTGATGGACTTGGGGTATAAATGCATCATTCAGGCAGCCTGAAAAGGGTTGAAAAAAAATTAAAGTTTCTAGCAGAAAGAGATAAGACTTTTTGGGGAAAAATACATAAATGTCGATGGTTTGAGAAATGAATTCGAGAATCATATTTAGATTAAATTTTTTTTTAGTGTTAAAGTAAATTCAGGAGCTTGGCGTTTACCCGCGTGCTTATAAAATGCCATACATACAAAGTTGGCAAAACTAAAAATAAATACAGCATAAAGTGAGCATGCTGAAAGCCTTCAGCCACATGTCACCGCATTTTAACTTTTGAAAACCTATACTGAAAAAAGCAATTGTTCATGACCAGAAGAACTTGAAGAAAGGCGTGAAAGGATCTACGTACACAGTGCCGAAGTGGAGATTTTCACCACTTAAGATACTAAATAAACATACATATAGAGGCGAAGCCGAGCTTCGCATCACTAGCGATACAACACAAACATAAAAAAAACCTAAGAAAATGAAAAATGTTGATAACTAGGTCTAGCAAAATTAAACTTCAATAACTCTCAGTAGAAATTGAATTTGGTCAAAGATGCCAGACATTTGAATATTATATTAACAACACAACGCTTACGAAGAGGAGACAAAGCCGACAATCTTTCATCAGACACAATTGGAGGCGAAAAATAGATTAATTAAATTTAAAAAAATTTGAAGTTCTCCTGAAACTGCATCGAACAACACTTGCAACTTCCATGAAACTTACTAACAGAACAAGAAAATCCGTGATAAGACAACGAAGCCAACTATCTTTGAGTAGAGAAACGAAAGTACGACAATTCAATTTTTACCGGAAAAACAAAGGTTTGATAAATTAACATTACGACGATGCATTTAATGCTGATATATGACTTCATTGATACAATGATACAGTTGGCTGATATATATGCATTTTTAACGCTGGCACGGCACTGACCGTAAATTAACGGAAGGGCCCCTTTTGTAATTTAACCTTTTTTAAAATTCAATTGCATGCATACTGAAAAGAAAAGCAACATCCGACTGGGACTCGAACCCTTGACCTAAGGTCATTAAAGCGACAATGTTATCTATATGCCTGAAAGTTGTTGAGCTTTCATAATAAAGCAAGTAAGATTTGAAGAAAAGTTGTTTGCGGGAAAAAAGTCTTGTTTCCGATTACAAGATACTTGCTCTTGCAAGAGTTAAACAGGAAAGAGACAGTAGAGACAAAATCGAAATTCGGACATCCTCAAATATTATCCAGCAAAATACCAGGCGCATATATAATGATATGTAGCCAAAGTAAACCAGATATACTCTTAAATGCTAAAAAAAGACACTAATGAATAAGCATTTTTTTGTGCCGTGTGTTAGAAGAAAAGTAATGTGACACTAACTTCCGTTTTTGTTAAAAAAAAAGTTTCTCAAGCCAAAAAATCAAACCAAAAACGCAATATAATAAAACTGGAAAACCAAATAACATTTATCAGAAACCTGGGTGGTTTCAAAAGAACACTTGTCCAGATTCTAGGTTTTTTTGGTCCCGTGAGAAAACTAGTTTAGATAATTGGTCCCGCCTTTTTCCTAAAATTAAACACAAGCGCGGGATTCGAACCTACGCCTTGGGGTTGGTCACCGAATTCGTACCCGCTAAACTAACTATGACCGCTGTGTTATCAACATACAGAAATTAGGACGCTTACTTTGAGAATTAACCCAAATACTGTTGTACCTCTCTTGTTGTTAGGGAACACGGCATTTATAAGGGAACCAAACAAGAGAACTAGTACCCTTATCCATCGTATTAAAACTTATCGTCGATGCATCCATCCTTTGTCAAACGAGAAATAGGGACAATTGGATTTTTTTCGGAAGTTTGAAGAAATGGGGATAACAGGAGAAAATTAAAGTCCCGGGAAAACGGAGTCTATATACTTGAAAAAAAATAAATAACCCAATTCACAAAAACTTTCTGCGTTATTCTAAAGAAACTGAGTACCTCAGTCATGAAAAGATAAATAAAGAATTTATAAACATTGTAACATTTTTGAGTATTTAAAAATTCAGATCATATGAGCAACCTTGCCCTTGTGTCTCAAACTTCGCATTTTAATGTCACAAAAATTGCTCTTCAAAGCACACAATGTTTTGACACTCTCATGATATTTGTAGGCGTCAGATATAGTTTTAGGGCAGGATTTAGCATGGGGGTTGAAAATTTTTACATCGAAAAAGGTTCGGCTGAATCGACCTCACCAGAGTCCATTTGCCTTGACGCTCGACTTGACATCAAGGCAAATGGACTCTGGGGAGGTCGATTCAGCCGAACCTTTTTCGATGTAAAAATTTTCAAACCCCAAGCTAAATCCTGCCCTAAAACTATATCTGACGCCTAAAATATCATGAGTGTCAAAACATTAAAATACCAACAAAGAATTCTGGATGTGGAACACAGTAGCTTTGTTCCATTAATTTTTGCGTGTACGGGAGGAGCAGCACCGGGCTCTACAAAAACCGTCCAGAAACTAGCAGAGAAACTAAGCGAAAAACGGAACGAATCATACTCGGACACAATTAACTATATAAGAACAAAAATAAGTTTTGCACTTCTGAGGAGTGCAATCCTCTGCCTTAGGGGGTGCAAAAAACTTAAAAATACATCCAACATAGACAATTCTATCTGTGCTGTAATCGAGGAGGGTAGATTGTAATTGACAATTCTCTTGATGCATTAAAATAGATTTGATTTATTCATAAAATTTTGTCGATGTATTTATATAGAAATGGTATGGCCCTATCCAACCTCTGCACGTACCGTCGCATGACGGAAGGGCCCATTTTAATTGACCCCCTTTTTCAAAGCACACAAATTATTGAAAAAGACTGTCTGCTTCGAGAAAAAATAAACTAAATACTCCCGGTTTGCGACTAAATCCCCGGGGTGTGAAGGAACTTCGGTCTAGAGAGAGTTAAACCATCAGACGAGATAGTGATATTACATATTTCAACACGGAGGCCAAGTGGACCTTCGCATAACTTCCGATACAGGAATATATGCCAGTTCACGCGTCCTTCATTTCTCCTAGTCTAAAATACTTGGAATTTCAAAAACTGGGCATAAGTAAAGGTATGTTTGTAATAAAGGAAAGAAATGCGATGGTTCGGAATCAAGTCAACGAGATCGAGAAGACTAATACCTGCACAGGAAAAACTGGGGTTGAAAAAAAACTCATAATTTGACCTGATATAATAAAAATCAATAAGGATATGTTGAATACTTGAACTACGCTGCAGATACTTGAACTACCCTGCGTTTACTTTCTCTTGACTCGTCAATAAAACAATTTCTCAGAAAGTAGTGTTATCATTAAGTCCCAAGTACGCAGGCATCATTCGCAACCTATAGTGTGAGTAAGATTCTCGGTTTAAAACCAGCTGCCCTGGGTTTCTCGGCACATGTGCTTAGTTCTTACAGCTTAAATTGGAAAATGTTAGGGCATTGTATTGACATTAGAGACCCTGTTAGTTTCCTGGGAACACCATCAGATATGTTCTTCTTTATCCGAGCTAGACCTTAAGAGTAGCTACTTCGAATGCTAGAAATACCTGGATTCACTCTGGCGAAAACTGACACCTCTGCATGATCTCACCTGTAACTCCCAATGTTTCTTTAACTAAATGACATTCTTTTGGTTGCTAAAATGAGTGTTGAAACTGAATCCAATCAAATCAAAGTGAAAATTTGGGAAGAAACTGAGATGTTCAAATTAAAATGAGAACAGAAAAAGCAAGAGGAGAATTTAGGTTCAGAACTTGTAGAACAATAAACAGATTGAATGAATTTGTGGATTTCACTAGATTGATGGGCTTGAAAAACAGAATTTTGAAGATGATGTGGAATTATGTCAATATGAACTTTTCAGAAGCTAACATCTGCAGCTAATTAATTGTATTAATTGCAGTGGCTGGAGAAACTCGAGGAGGAAATTATAAAGAACTTACTGGGAGCAATCCCATCAGCAGTAGCTGTACATTCTATACAACAACAACAACATAACAGTGGAAGACCGCAGGCACTTGAGAAATCAACTCCTGGGCTCAAAACTCGTCCTTGAATAGACTGTCCTCTACATTCCTACATACTTATTACAATCTGTCTCTCAGATACGTTTTACTGCACAGCTCTATTCAAATAGTTTATTTCAGCATTGGAGTTTTGAATAATTTTTAAATAATGAGAATATTATGACCAAAAATTGTCAATACAAAGTTCACAGAGATAAGCTAGAGAGATAAGGCTATCTTCTTAAGGTATCGGTATGCATACTGTCAGCACCTCGCAGAACTGTCAGCACCTCGCAGAGAAACGGCTGATACACTAGTCCAAAACCTTTCATGGCAAAAGTTACTATGCTTTCTTTCCTCAGAAAGAAAAACTAAGACATAATTTTCCTTGCTGCATAAATCTGTGTGCTATAATAGATGCTTTTCTCAGGTTGCATGAACCAGTTCAGCGTTCACAGCTCAAACCAGGGTCTCAGAGCGCCTGATAGGTTTCAAGCCGAGAAAAAAAATTCTTTAAATTAAGGACACGTAACAATTATTGTCAAGGATTATGGTTGTCATGTATTAAAAATTCCAAGAAATTTGATGATGTAAAACGAAAATTTGAAAATAGTTATGTTGATAAAAAATGAAATAATTTGTAGTTTTGCCTCGAAATATTTCTACAGTTTGAAAGAAAAAGGGTGATTGGTACCCTGATATCCAAACAAAACATATTGGTACCCGACAGAATCGCAGCTGCCAATAAGCATTCAACCAAGGTCTCAAATACCAAAAAAATATGTACCCGAAAATAGTCAAAATCAAATCATCTTATTTATTTATTGTATGCAACGATATCGAGGCAAAATCAATTTTACCATTACCGGAAGACATCATTCATAGCCCTATAGTTCAACACGAGAATCTGATGCAGGTCAACCTGATTATGCAGGCAGAGAAATTTTAAAAAACGAGAAATTC